GCAGCTTAGCAAATTTGCCTACCCAGTTATCCTCTCTGAATGAGCCGAGCATGTTTTAGATTTTAGATGTTCCCAAGTCCGATTACTCCGTCTTGAAGGAGCCGAGCGATCCCACATGCGATGGACTACGAAAGTTCAAGATTTCAAAGCGAGATGCTGGAACTTATTTATTCCGAATCCCAGACCTGAGTGGTTCTCTGCCCCTTCTGCAGCTTTCCGGTGCTCGTGGTCCTTCTCATGGAAGAGGAAGCCCTCAGGGTCCGAGGGGAGTCTAATGTGTCGCGCGTTATGTAAACCGTGTCAGCACCAAGCAACAATACCTGAGTGGTGCGCTGCGTCCTCGGAAGTTGTCAAGGATAAGATTTCGACAAAAGACGGTGTGAAAGACGGCCGAACGACAGTCAGTCGGCACGGCTGGTGGGACGACTACAAATGTGATGAGGGGGTACCGGTCCCGGTCGGCGGAGATAATAATTGCTCATGAACACTTGGTCATAGGCACGTAGGCTAGCACGTTCGGGTCATTGAGAAATTGCGATGGGGGAGGAATGCCGCGGAGAAGGGGACGGAAGCCTTACGATCGTAGAATGCAGCGCGAGATGGAAAAGATCAAGACGAGCTGCAGAAAAAATGTCAAAAATCAGCGGGATGGGGGGATTTAGAAAATGCCATCGAATTTCCGGAGAGACGAGGGCATTAAGAACGTAATGCAACTCCGGCAAGAGGTTCCTGATCGAAGAGTCAAGCAAAATCGGTGGGGGTTTCTGTGCCGAGAACAATAGCTGGAAAGGATACGCCAGCACCACCGCGAATTGGCTTGGCTATGAATCAAACGTGCATTGTTATTGAAAATTGTTTTGTACGCAAGACGTTGGCTCTCGCCGCTTTGTTTCGTCGATGTTATTGCCGGGCGACTATTTTGTCATTTCGTCCTGACTTGGCTCCACTGGTTGTCGCTTGCTTCCTTGCCTGCTCGACGACCGGACTGATGTTGAGCGACCTTTTTCCATCTAACCAACATGGAAAAAAGAAAGCCTCGCTCCGGCGGAAGCGGTTTCTGTGAATGTTTTGTGTGCGTTCTGTCTCGGCTTCAGTTACCTGGGGGAACTTGTTGGCCGAACCAGCAAGCTTATCGTTCGTGAAGGATCGTGTTCGCCGCTAACCGAGCGAGCGACCGACCGATCGCTCGACCAATGACGCGCCCGAAGTTTTCGACACCGATATGGAGGGGTCCAGGCGGAAGTCACGAAAAATTTGTTTCGTTTCCCGGCAATTCATGAATTTTTACAGCTTGTTTTCAAGCGAGCGCATGAATAGATCTACTTCTGTCCCCGAAGACAGCAGAAAACATTCGGGTCGCCTGTGAGAAGAACCTTCCGAAACATCGAACATCATTGAGCACGACTTCCGCCGCCACTAGAAAACGAACTGACTTCCCGCAAGTTGGACTTGGAGAGTATTCACACAAGTTCGCGTATTTCGTCAAGGAATTAAGACTCCAGGGTGAAACCGCGGCGAAAACTCATCATCAGAGAAACACCGAGATGAGGGCGGATCTCAGGGATATTCATTGTAGCTTCCAGTGGCCAAGCTAATTCCCCTCAGCTTCACAGAGGGAGTGCACGGAAAAAATTGAAGATAAAATAGCGTTTCTTTCCTTCCCACATTTATATGTATCTAAAAACCCCTCCCGTCATAGAGTTCCATTGTGGAGCTCTAGGTCACAGCCTTGACTGTCCACATTACCAACGATAGATCGCCCAGTTTTCGCTATGCAACGCGTTGTACTGTGGACTATGGTGGTAGCGAGAGCGATTGCCGGAGCGAGTGCCTGTTTGCCGAAATCGAGTATTCCCGCATGAGCCGCCGTCCGAGGCCGTTCCATGTGACCGGCGTCCTGCCTTCGGTTACTCGATCCAGTCGGTATTCCCGAATCCCGAACCCCTCGCGAGACGGAACACACAGCTGGGATCGTCCACAGCGTTGTATTGGAGGGCGAATCCAGGGAGCAGATGCACCCAGGTGTATCAGAGCGGGCAGCTCCGCTTCCGTAAGGATTCTTGCTCGGCAACGGCAAGCGGATCCCGCAACCTCCCGCCCGAGCGAAGCGACCAGTGTCGCGGAAATTCTCTTTCGCACTGGAATTCTTGGACGCGCTGACCCCTCGAGCTCTCCCCGGCGTCGGCTGGAGTTTGAGTACGGTGCTGTTGACCTCACGAAGACCAATAGAGGGCGAAATTCTCCGTCTTGAAATGAGCCCTACAGGGGTACACCCGGTCATCTCTCGGTCGCTCGTATTTCCCTTATAAGCCCTGTCCTCTGGAGACTTCGTTTCCGGTCAGATACTCCGGTCATCGTCACGATCCTTCTCCCGAACTTCAGAAATGTGTCCATCGACTATGAAGGGAAGGAGAGTTGAAGACCGCAAAACACACGTGGCAATTGAATGAGCTGTGGCTTGCGCTCCGCTGCCTTTACCTCAGCCGGCGCCGTCGCTGTGTGTGTCGTTCGTGGTAGGAGTGACAGCGCGGTCATCTTCGACGGTCGTCTTACTGGTTCACTTGGTCAGCCCGTCGTTCGGCCGACATCGGACACAATGAAGCGCCATATAAGAACGGCTACCTAGCTCGGCTGCGCATTGTTCGTTCACTGAATATCTTCAATTAGGTTTTGGCGTCGTCGAGACGTCACGGCTTTTTTAAGCAATGTTCGCTCGCTGAACGGCGCGTTCATTGTCCAGTCACGCTAAGGTGTGAGCGGCCAGGACGACGGTGGTGAACGGACGGCACGAACAGATACGCAACCCGAGTTCCGAAGGTCCGGGAACGTTCCTTCCAGGCACGACGGATAATCGCGCCGCCGGTTCCGCATGTTTCTCATCCGGGATTCTTCAGCATCCGAGACCGCCGAAGCGTCTAGAATGTTCCGCGGCGTCCGTACGAGTGGACAGAAAAACGTTATGTGGTTCGATGGACGATTCTGTCGCGGCAGCCGGTCCGGTGCGTACGTTGATTCTTTCTGTCGATCGATGCAACGTACGCTGGAATACCCGGAGCCAGCGTCTATTGAAACGTTGTTCCATCAGAGCAGCTTTTACGGACGACGCCCGTCTTTACCGGCGCCAACTGGCACCAATATGCTTTACAACGTCGACAGCAGAAGAAGCGGCGTCAGCTACTAGATTGGTTGTCGAGTAGCGGCGATGACGCCGCTTCTCGTTCATATGGAGGAGGTTTTGCATCCGAAGCAAGGCACCAGTCAACCCGCCAGTCCGCTAGCCAGCCGGCTGATCGACTCGGCGTTGTTGAAGAGACGTGACGCGAGGGTACCGTCGAAATCGCAGAGTATTTCTGCTTCTTCTCGACGATGCAGATGAAATTACCGTCTTCTGCGTGAAATGTCACGGGGTGCTCGGGGAGCCAGAAAACCGCGGGATTGAGCAAAAAGACAGACATCTTGTAGTTATGAAGACAGGAATGGAGATAACCTTCCGACGGTCCATTTTCTCGACCAGTCCCCACAGCAGAAGCGGTCGCGACACCAACCGTCAGTGGGTGACTGCAGGTGAAGTTGACATAGGTCGAAACGTCGACGATCGCTTCGGCCACAAATACCGGAGACTAATCACGGCGGCTGCATTCTCCGGTGCTCGCGGTACAGCGCGTATTTACTGAGGCGCTCGCACCTCGGGTTGAGAACACCAACAAATGAGGAACTCAGACATTTCATTCGGCCTTGGCATCGGTGCCCGCAATCTGCTATCAGCTAGAGAAGGACATCGCTTGAAAACGTCGTCACTCCGTCCGACGAGCGTCTGGAAGGGCCGACAGTCGCCCCGGTGGCTGTTGTGGAAAGTTACGATGCCTTGCGCGACCCACGTCGTCGGCGGAATATAAACGAGGTTCTCGGGGGATAGATCTCCGTAATTCAGAGCCCTTCATCTTCGCCAGCTCGAAAATGGAAAACGTCATGTTCACCTTATCTAATGCTCGCTTGGGTTTCTCTTCGACCGGAGCCCGCCCCCCGGGAGTACAGTGGAGGATCAGACAGCGGGGCAATGCCGTGCGACAGATCCATTCAAAGCCGGACTTCTATACGATTGCCAGAGTGGAAACTGGTTATTGTGAAGAGCGTAAGCGTATCGACGTACTGCAGGATCTGAATTGATGGCGATCGAATACCCGCCTGTGGAATGCGTACGGCCCGCGGTCCGAAGACCGACCGTGGTCATCTCTTCGGCGGGGACGTTCACCGGCAGGAGGCGGGCTCCACGTGCCCGCTCATCCCGTTTCTGGTTTTCCTTAGCTGGAAGGGACTCCTTTGGCTCTGCCGCAATTCGGCATGACTGTCTCCTCAGCGAAAAGAGAAACCGCGATCGCCGCTACGACCCGGGACAGACGCTGGAAGATGGCACCCCGCAGAATCAGCCACGAAGCTGGACGGCGCTACGTGCGAGACTTGCCCTCATCCACAAGTCGTGTTACGTCGAGGAATGTGGTCTAGCTGAAAATGAGGCAGATTTCCCCGACTTTTTTTCACTCAGGAAGCCCGTTAAAGCGTCCCAACGGTGGAGGAAGGCGTTGGTCGATTTGTTTCTGAAGAGGAGCAGATCTGGGTCGCGTTGGGTCTTCCCGCAAGTGTCTTCGGGTGGCTCTGGAGAAGAGCTTTTTCTTTCGACAGCCGGTCGGTCGAAGCGAGCGTTTTGTTCCTGACTAGGATTGGCTCTTTAGGAAGCGACGCAATCGGCCTTATACATAAACCTCTTCGACTTCTCGCTTACGCCATGCCACTCGAAGTGGTATTGGTCATAATCGGCGTTCCTGGATCGGTCACTTGTTGGATGGGACAATGTTGACAACTCCAAAGTGAATTTCCTTCGTCCTGAAACGTCCCGAGGGGTGCCAGTTCCTCTCAATATTTTCCCAATTTATGGGATCGCACATAAGCCGCATGCCTTTCTCCAGCCCAGGCATAGATCACAGCTATCATTGTCTGTGTTGTTCTTCGGCGGTCTGTGTGGCGGTGTCTCGATCAGCTTGTCGAACGAAAGAGCGTTCTTTAGCTAGAAAAATCCTTCGCTCCGGGATTCTCGGCACCCAACAGCCGCTGGTAGTTCAAGCTCGAGTTTGTGATCCTTTATATTGGCAATGGCGAGCGACGACACAGCGTCCTCTTCAAAAGCGGGAGTAGCGGACACCGTCGACGAAGTACCGCAAATCGTTTTCAAAAAAAGTAAGCGGAAGAAGTGCCTCAGGACCACGCCGCTCATCGACGACGAGGACGATCACGTAGACAGGAGCGTACTCGAAGACACGAAAGAATTGCAGAAGTTACGCAAGCGCCCCCACGGTGTTTCTGTCGAGGCGCTGATCCTCGGCAAACCGGTCGCGGACACTGAAGAGAAAGTTTCGGATCCCTTTAAAATAGATTCGGGTGGGGGCTTGACCGATATGAAAGCGTCGTCGACGGAAACGATTGTGATCGGGAATCAATTCGCGTCAGAGACCAATGAGCGCGACGAAGATGCGGACATGATGAAGTACATTGAGGCTGAGCTGAAGAAACGCCAAGGGACACAACAGCAGACAGAAGCTGAAGCGAAGCCGCTGTCTCTTAAAAGTGAAGATCTTCTCATGCAGATACTTCCCAACCATCTCGAGCGTTCGCAAGGGCAGAAAAACGAAGAAATGTTATCCAACCAGATGTTGGCCGGCATTCCCGAAGTTGACCTCGGTATGGAAGAACGAATTCGCAATATCGAAGCAACGGAAGAGGCCAAGATGAAAATGCTCCACGAAAGAATGTCGGGCAAGCGTAAGGAAACGTCTCTAGTGCCAACGAATATTTCCGTGAACTTCGAATCTCAGCAAAAGAAACCGAAAAAAGAACAAGTCCGTCGAGAGCGCGAGCCGGGCGGCCCGATGCGGGCATCAGACGACGCTCATCTCGAAAAATTCCGGAAGCACTTCAACCGACGATGAACACTTCGCCGATTCTTCCCGTTTCGTGTATCAAGGACCAGTGGAGTTATTGTACATTATTCTCATATTGACCGTGATCGACTCGTAGAGATCTGCGTTGCCCAAATGTATATATGCTGTATAAAAAAATAATATAAATATGGAGAAGTTAATTTGATTCTCCGATTCATTTTCCTGTTTCGTAAGCTGTTTCTGGGGTTGTTGTTTACGACGATTCCTTCCCGCTGAAGGACGTTCGCGTTCAGGCGGCTGGGCCGTCAGCGCGTTTCGGCTGCTCTGTCGATTCCCTGTTGGTACAGTATCTAGTCGGCTCGTACTCCTAGGTCGTTCTCCGTCAAGAGGATGAAGCTGACATCGGAGCCGCATGGATTGATGAGCGGCCGTATCCCGAAGTCTCCGTCTCTTGGTAGGACAGGGCGCAATCAGGAACTGTCCAGTTCTCTCCGGCGGAGCGGGAGCATTCCGGGAGCTGTTCGGCTACGGAAATATGACTTCTGAGATCGTTGGCATCGTGGAATTCCTGCTCAACTCCTTGCCGGGAGAACCGCGACAGCGAGTATGATGAGCTCATGGAATCGATGTCGCACTTCGAATGATCAGAATATTCTCCTCTTGTCGCATGATTAGGGGGCGAAGAAGCCTCCGCACAGATTATGAGCTCACTCTCTCGACGATTTTTGAGCGTGCGGTGGACGTCCGCGGAATGAGGGAACTTGTGTAGGATACGAAGAAGCATCGATCGATGACACCTTTTTCAGTTGCATTTGGCAGCTACATAGGTGGTCAGCGGCTTGATGGGGGAGTTCTTGCGCACCTCGTGAATTCAGCGAATGTACGCGGTGCGCGATCATTCCTATCGGGAGTTTTCTTCTCGATTAATCGGTCCGTCAGCTGAGATGACTGCTTGACTCCTGGGCTCGGCGGACGGACGCAGCGCAGATTTTCTCCGAGCACGTTGCATAATATTCTTCAAGAACCGCTGGCAACAATAATTGCGTGTCGAAGTCTGCATGATGAATGATAGGTTCTGTTTGGCTGTCTAGAACTAGGAGAGAAGCGTGAAAATGAAGTGTTTCTGACGGTTTGCGACTGCGTATCCGCCCTGTGAGCTGATCAGTTCCGTCAGGTAGCAAGATAATTCGAAGTTCGGTTCTCGTATTCCTCCGTGGAATTCTCCTCCAGAATCATTCCGGTGCTTTCTGGGATGGCGCGAGATTTATTGCGTCAGTGTCCGGCGGTAGTCTCGATCCTTCGATCAGCGAGCTGAGACTATCCAAAATCACCGGAAGCTGCGATTGTATCACAAATTTTGTGGCTCTCTCCCCGAGAAGAGAATGTGGATCGGTGCGGCGATATATGCAGGTGGCGAAGTCGAAACCATCCTACGAGGGTCATCGCTCCCGCTCGACTCAGAAGACTCGGTATGACGGTTTCCAGGCCGGAATATGTGAAGTTCTTGTGCGACGATATCCCTATTCGTCCAAAGAATAGCCCAGGGGCGATACCGACGGTCGAATTAGGATTCGACTGGATGTCGACGAGCATCCTGACTATGGATCCTTCAACAAAGCGGGGCGATCTTCGTTCGGGGGAGAAAAGACATTCAGAAGACTATATAGGATCTTCGGAGCGATGAGTCCTTCTTTTCAAGACAAATGTGAGGAATCCTTCCCCTGGAACGTGAGCGAAAATTGTACAGAACCGACCGGCGCAACGTTCAGAAACGAAGCGATGGCTCCCGAGGAAAATGTTTCCTTCGGACGGAGAATCGAGGGGGGAAATATTGTCCATTCTTCTCGGTATGTTGTCTTCGGTGGGTGCCTTCGAATCTGACAATCAAATATATTGGATCTGTAAAATTCCAGTCGAGACATAATGGTTTCGATTTATCGAGTTCACGGCTACCCTTCGAAAAATCAGCCGTAGCTGTGGAAGAAGCAGACCACGGCTGACCGAAGCTGCCATCTCTCCGAGCTGTATGAACAAGACGTCAAAGAGGGAGATGCGTTCCGCACAATGATCATTGCCGTGATACGACCGTAATGTGGGCATTCATTAGCGGATTGCAGAACTGCTAAGGAGGTCCGTATAGAATTCATGAGTGTTTGCGTGACGCCGCTCGATTTTGGAAAGTTGTGCGGTGCGCAGTCCTCACATTGTTTGCAAGTGCCCATTGTGGAGGAAACGAAGAGCCCTTTTGTATTGGTTCTCTTCCCCCTCTTTCTTGAGCAGCCGCCGCGGCAGCAGCAGCAACAACAATAAAAGCAACACCGTCTACAGATCTTGAAGATGTTGCTTCTGCAATGACATCAGCATCAAAGACAACATGAACACAGCGACTTGAACGCCAACGACAATTCGAAACAAGGTCCGAAAGTCGTCTCGCGGGAAGTACGTCAAAAGAGACAGTACGCTCATTCCTCGTCCCCTTCGTTCCTCTTTTCTGACGCCAATAGCTCCGGAAACCCGTCTAATGATATTGACCGGCGCTTTTTCCGCTTCAATCAGAACGCAGGCCGTAGACGCTAAAAACGAGGAAGCTAACTTTTTCTGTACGGCGATCGACAGCCGTGTGCATCTGGTATCTTGAAAATTCCGGCAAGATCGGCGTCCACACCCCTCTGCCGGCGGTGCGGAAGGGGGAGGGGAGCAGATAAGTTCCGTGAAAAGCGCGGGCCGGAGCGGGGCAAAGCTTAGCCTGGTAGAAGAATGAGTATTTCGAAGTCAGTCGCCGGACTTCATGCGCATGAGGTTGCTGATAATATCCTGGACCATGAAGAGCGAAAGGAGTGAAGCAGTCAGTGAACGAGCGAGCAAGCGGACGTCGGAGGCATCCCCCGGAAGAGAATTTAGATTCACTCGCAGATGACCCTTTTCGAAGCAGCGGCAGCAGCGGCGACATCACCCTAGAAGTGAAAGTTCGCCTCTCGCAGCACGCCGAACCTACATCTCGAGATAGAGAATCTCTCGTGGACCGCTTTCTCCTCGCTTTCGAAAACTGAAGATCGCCGTCACGACGACAAAAATTGAAACGCTGACGTCGGTCCGGAGCCAGAATTTTTTCAATCTTTTATCTCGGAGGGCTTTATGACCCGGGGTCGGTTTCTTCCTACCATGTCCCGTTTTCCGTGGAAAGAAGCGGCGACCACCTGAAGAGTGGTTGTTTCTTTTCGTGGGAACTCTCGCTTTTATCGTATGCTATATGATTATGATCATTGTCTTTAGGTCTGGTCGTTCGGAGTCAACGGTGGCGGATCGAGGAAAATCGCAGCAGATTTTCGTTCGTCTGGCTCGCGGTAGGGAGATTTGTCAAACGATCCGCAGTGGCACAGTCGGTCACTTCTCTTTCTAGCGGTCGTTATGGGAGTTAGGTTTATTGGCGGACTACGCCAAAACACTTCGTAACGGTTGCTCTTCGGCAGCCGTGGGTTGGCCCCGATCTGTTGAAACAGCTCCCAAATTTTGCCCGGCGCGCTGAAGTGACGTTTCGCTCGTCTGTGAGCTGAGTGAGCAATTTATTCACTTGGCTTTACTGCGCGTATCTTTCGCGGAGCCTTGGGCTTTACGAAGTTCTTCGAGAATTTCCACCGACCGTTTTTTTCATTTTTCGGGGAGCTCCTCTCCAATGGCCGTCGGACCCTTGAGTTTGACGATGCATAGTGAAATCTTCCGCATCCACGGGATGAGACGCGGCGAGCAATCACGGTGATCGGAAATTCAACCTAGCGGTGCGCATCCATGCAAAGATACTCGAAAGGCTCATTGCAGGCCATTGGGGTGACCGGAAGCCTGGGTGAGAAGGAAATCGTAGGACACATCTCGATCGAAGCTCAAGCTGAACGGGTTCGGGATTTTCGACGCCTCGAAAGTGAAAGGAGCGGGAGATTCTCCAGGCGAATGCAAAACCACTGTTGCCGCACTGGGAATTTTCTTGATCATGAAAAAAAACAGCTGTTGTTGTTAGTTATACGCGCTGGTCCGTTGTTCCCATCATTCGAGTTACATCAGATGCTGAGAGTTTCCCCATCCGGCGTAGAAGTATTCAATGATCGCGAAGGAGCAGCGCGGAACTTTCAAGTCTGGAAGAACTTTCCCAGGATCAAGCTTGGGTCAGAACTCTGGCTCCCTGGAGACCGCATTCCTCTCACACTGGAAATCCATAGAGCACGATATTCCGCGAGACCACTGTCATGAATTCATGAATCACGGAGAAGAATCCTGCTTTGAGCCAGACTGATTGCTCCGAACTTCGAGGGCTGTTCACATCTTCAAGACGAGAACTCCAATCTCTGAAACTATTTCCATTAGACATTTCTCCCGTTTCGAAAGCAGTAAGGCAGCAGCAGCTGCTGTCCTCATTGTGAGGTTTTCGGTCGCTGTTCCGCTTGTTTTTCCGTAAGGCTTAAACGTTGCATTTATACCACCTATTTCCCTCCTTTCAACACTTGACTATGTCACCCAGTTCAACCAGCTGGAAAAGACACTTTAGAAAAAGATCACATATTTTTAAGTCTTTTTTTTCGCTGTCCCTTCAACGCCTGGAACTTTCTCCCCTCGTAACCCACGAGCTAGTCTAGCTCGTGAGATCTTCGTCGAAAGGCTGTGCCGAGGCATGCGTGTTGGTGGTCCGCGATCAAAGGCCACCATTGCCTCTGGATTTCCCTAGTCGTGCCGAATCGAATAAAAGAGTAAATGAATATAAAAGAGCGGATTTCGGTACGAGCCGAATGCGGCAACGGGAGCCTGTGGTCGCTCGCGCTCGGATCGTGAAGGGAAGTGGGCTGGCAACTAGGCACTCAGTCGGAGTATTCCCATAGAAAACTAAGAGCCGTATCAAAGCCAGTGCTCCAATAAATAACAATGATCCAGCAACAATCTGCTCTAGAATAAAAGACTCACTCCGAGTGCTCGTCCGCCCGTGTGTTTGTTTGCGCCAGCGAGTGCCTGAGCCCGCGCGTCTGCATTCGTGCCCGTCGTCGGCCGGTGGTACGTGGTGACTGGTGACACAATCCATGGCCACTTCCAGACGGCATTACCTAAGGGGAAGCAGAGTTGCAAAATGAAATCAAAGGAGAACCCTCCACATTCCCGGGAAAGCATCTTTCCAGGGCTCGAGTGTATATCTCCCGGGCTCGATTCGAGGACTTTCCGAAGCGGGGATATTCGATCCAACGAGACCAGGCCATCCTGACGTGGTCTCGGGCACTGGGTCCCTGGCGCCATGAACGACCGAGCACCGAACGCTCAGTTCTACGCGACAGGCTGGGCTGGTCTGTTCGGGCCGCTTAAACGAGGCGAGGACGAGGGTTCACTCAGCCCATGATTTCCTCAGATTAGGGCTCGGGGACATACGATTCTTCGCTTTGAAATCTCGGCGGGGAAGCGACCCAATCGGCGCTGTGCTCCACGGGCAGGTGAGGTCCCCAGCTCGCCGTAAACATGCAGTACTGTCCAAGAAACAAGGTAGAATTAACTCGGCAGGTGGAGGAAGGATCGTTGCCGCTGCGCCAAATACACGGACCGGAACTCCAGCAAAAGGTGTTCGTCTCAATATGCTCGGATCTATGTTCCAAAGGCAGGGCCGCCCTTCCCCCGTCCAATGCGAGTTAGAGAGACGAGATCTCGTCGGGGTTCCAACTGTCGATCCCTCAATGCCGAGCCTTTCCTAGGCAGCGGATATTTCTCGGCTTGGAGTTGTGACCAAGCAACGCGTCTTGGACTTGTTCAGACGCTCGAAGTGTTTTCTGAATCGACAACGACCCCCGAGTCGAGACGTCCGCTAATGCGAGGGCTAGATCGAGTGTATAGTCTATTTTCTGGACTATCTGTTCCTACTTCCGACGACTCCCTTCATGGTCAGAGGATACGATCATTTGACGGTGGAGCAATCGAGCACACCAGATCCGTGCATCGCGTGTGAGCAATTAGAGCCAATCAAACGAATCCATCGTGTGAATGTACGACAATTCAGTGCCAAGAGTAAATCTCTTCTCCTCTGGACACGAATGAGGAAATTTCATGCAGACGGTCTTAGACAATTGGTCCGAGAACGAAATGAGTCACTGCAGCGGAAGGAGAGTACCATGTACATATATACAGCTCTGGCCTACCGGACGGAACGGTAATCTAGGACTTCTTCCCGTCCGTTGTGTCGACTGTCTTAAAAAATTAGGAATGAGCTGATGAGCGGATCGAATTTCGTGCTTGCGAGATAATCCGCAAGGGACGGTCCCTCCTGAATTCCCTTCGCCGTCGCTCGCCGCATGTCTGCAGGAATCCCTGACTGACTTTGATCGGGAAATTTCGAGCGCGCCCCGAAGAATTCCTCGCTCGCAGGAACGAGCTCCCCCTAGTCCGCTCGTTTTCACGCTCATTCTTCGTTGCTGTTCTTGAGAACGAACATTCAATCTTCCGGTCCACACCCAACACCGTGAAATCGTCGGGAACAAGGGAAATGCGAACGTTTTCCGTGGGAGAAGATTTTGGCGCCCCAACCAGCTTAGATGGGCATCATCTTCCCGCTGAACACCGAGCTTCCGATTTTCACAACATCTGATCGAGAGGAAGGCTGGGAACGTGCGAGGACAAAAACTTTCTCTCCGGACATAGGAGCGAGGAGATAGGGACCTGATGTAAATTCACCACTCTGGTTCCCTCTGCATGAGCGCCTGCGAGGTATTTCGACGGTGGAAGTCTCAACAATCCGTCAGAACCGTTTTTGATGAGCAATAAATGAGAAACATACATCTGCGAAGCGCATGTATTAGCAAGCTACCTTCAGCAATTTACCGTCGCCTTCTCAACGATGATCGATGCGGATTGATCGTGTGGCCGTCAAGACTTCCTCGTTCATGGCTTACGAAGAAGTTGGCGGCAAAATCACGGCAAATTATCGTACTTCGGATGGATTTCGGACACCGTCCGGACGGTCGACTTCTCACTTCTATTGTGATTCTGTTCGAAATGCTTTACATTTGCCCGCTTTTTGCCGAAGTTCTCCCATTCGCGATCCAGGGACTTACTCTTCGAGCGAATTCACGAAAACGAATTGGTGTCCTTGTTCTCATAACGATGTCTCCGCTGACCTTAGCTCGGCCGAGTTTTTTCCCTGTCGGTAGACGCTGAATCGATCCCAGCCCTCCGATTCGGATTACGGTCGCTGTTCGCGAAACTCTCGCGAGTTTTTCTCGAGTAGTTCGTCGTTTCGCCGAATTGTTTTCTTGGGGAGGTTGTTGCTGCGCTGCTCTATCTCGCAAGCCTCTCGCCGAGGCGAATTCCTCGTGTCCACTCCGATTCACTCATGAGCCGCCGCCTTCGACTGACGTGACTGATTCATCGGCTCTGGCAGAGATCGGTTTAATAAAAAAAATTCAGTGCAGGTTTAGCTTGATGCCAAACCTGTGGGTTGCGTAGAACTACGTCAACGTACTCGAGGGGACTTATCGCGAGATCGCGATGAAGTCTATGAAGCGAATCGAGGGAAGATTTATTGTTTCAGTCTATGATTATGAAATCGAGATATAGATAGTTGAAGTTTTGCGATGAATTCCGATTTTGGATTCTGATTTGGGGTCCTCAAAGATAAGTTTCAACCGATAAGGTCCCGATCCAGAAGATAAAGTCTGGCCGCACTCTTCCGAAGCCGATGAGGTTCGATTCCAGATGAAAATCCTGGATCCTCAACGATATGCTCCTGTCATCTCAAGTCTCGACACGGAGGATGAAGTTCGGACGCACTCTCATGAAGCCAATGAAGTTCGGTCCCGCATGAGAATCCTGCATGAGAATCCCGGGTTCTCAACGATATGTTTCTATCTTTATGAAGTCCCGATCCAAACGATCAAGTAGTCGAGCGGAGCCGTGATTTGATATATGTATGAATTTTATCGCAGTAAGTTTCAAATTCGGATGAGAGTCCCGAGCCCTCATTCAGCGAATCAGGAATATAGCTCCTTGCTCGAAACCTCCAAAGTTCCTCGGTCCTCACGATGAGGGGGTAAAGGATGAAAGTAAAAGCCGATGGTGAAAAGGGAAAGTCGAATATTGCAAGCCGTTGGCTGTATCGGATCATATTCTGCGTCCGGATTCGGTGTGGCTGAGATTCAGTTTTCCGGCTTTGAGCATCCGAGACGGTTCTGGAACCGGATCCTGTCTATATGGTTCCAATTATCTAAATGATTCAGTTCGGTCGTGAGGTGACCACGCGGCGGCGCGTATGCAAACGTGGATGTGTCGGGCGCGCTTATCATTCGACTCGCCTCCGGAGTTGCGTGGGAGACGATGTGCTGATACCCCAGTACAATACCTGATATTTCGCCGCTTTCGTACCACGATTGACAGCTCAGTGGCAGGATCGTTTACTCCGGCGGCACCCTTGAGTACCACAATGCATCATAACGCACCACGTTTAGTTTCAATGTCCAATGATCCCCTACACTATAATAAACGCCGTCTGTGCGTCACGTTGAGGTCTATGGCAGCTACCCGAAGGAGGGGTGCAATCGGTACCAAATTTCGTCGAGGCATCGGAGCGGTCCTCATGACACCGCAGGCCAAGTTGCGTCGCGTAACTTTGCGTCTGAATGCGCAATTTCGCCAACAGAAGTTCGAATTATGACGTCATCTAATTGCCCTCGCCACACCAGTGCTGCCGCCGCTGGCCGTGGCTCAACAGTGGTTCGTCAGTGTATCTGTTTTACGGCAGAGCGGAGAAATCGAATTGACATTCAATTCATACACCTCCCCCATCGCTCAAAAGCCTATCACAAGCTCGGACTTCATCCCGGAATCAGTATGTAGCCTCCGGAGAGGATCTGCTCGATCTATAGCCGCCGCGCCGTCGCGCTGTGACGCGGTCGCTGCCCGTGCTCCAACGGTCATTCCCATATGGCGCGTCGCGGAGCGGAGCGCACACTTCCGCTCCTGTCGTTGACTCCTTGCTCCTTGATGGGAACTTCGGCAGCGAGATCGCTCATGTCCGTGATTCCTCCTCCTCCTAGCACCTCTAGGTCACAGTGCACGGGCCTTTCGGAGCCGGATCCGCTTCGATCGCTTCATGCTCTATGACAATGGGAACTCGGCATCCTTTCGTGTTATCCTGCTCACTAACTCAGCATTCGGCATCGGCTGAATGAGGGGAGAAACAGCAGCGAGATCTGACAAGGGAGAAGGATCAATCGAATAGCCTTTCCGTGGAGAGCAATCGCCTTCCGCCAGCTTTTCGGAAGGACATCGCTCATTTTGTCCGGACATTTGGATAGCGAATGGTCTGTGTTCCGGTTCCAGAGGATGCTCAGAAATAAATTATCGGTGCTAATGCGTGCGCCAGCAGCGCACCGATCCAGCGTTAGGTGCGCCCGGAGGGCGCGCCGAACGCTGGTTCTTAATAACTTAGGTGATTTGAAGGTTCCAGAGGTAGTTTTCTGGACACGTAGTCGCGGGGAGTTCAATAGCCTCTCTGACAGTTTTCCCCTGCCAGATGTCGCCTGAAAAGCCTATTGCGATTTCGAAACCCGCAATCCGAAACCATCCGTGCATCCGTAACCAGATCCGTCACATTTTTTTGGACAGCGTCCATAATGACGTAGTTCTACGTCAAAAACTGAGACCCTCAGTTCTTAACTTTTGTGTTCTATTCCAGCCGCTTCGAGCTGTCCACCGCCCGCAGTTCCGCTTTACTCGACGGTGAAAGTCGAGAATGGAGCCGCGACCTACACGTGCGACACCGGATACGAATTGTTCGGTAGCGGCACGAGGAAGTGTCACGACAATAAATGGGAGGGCAAGCTCCCTTATTGTGGTAAGCATGGTCAATTATTCTGGATTAGAGCCTCATGAGCCTATGCATGGCTGCTCCCGAGCTGTAAAGACCAGGACCCACAGGAGCGGAACCGGAGTTGTAATAGACGTCTAGATCGCAAAAACGGCTTAGACGAATCCGGGCCGCAATTCAAATCGACTATCAGGAATCTGATAAACATTTCTGTTGTTTTCCCGTTCATTCCGTTTACCCGCGAATTTTTACGTTGCAGCAACAAATGTGGCCCTCAACAAGCCGTCGACGCAGTCGAGCGTGTCGACCAAAAATCCCGCCGGGCCAAAGCTAGCCAACGATGGCGATATGTCGACGGTGGGCGAAAAGCCCGTATGCACAGAAACCAAAGTTGAGAACTCGCCCTGGTGGCAAGTGGATCTCCTGCAAACGTACGAAGTTCGAGTGGTGAAAATCTTGACGCGAGGCTGCTGCGGGCATCAACCCTTGCACGATATCGAAATCCGAGTGAGCAACTCCAGTTCTCTGACCGGCTCGAGACTATGCGCCTGGTTCCCGGGAACGCTCGAAGATGGCGCCATGAAGGAGTTTGCCTGCGCCTATCCGATCGTTGGACGCTACGTCTCGGTGCAGATGGTCGGCGGAGACGGATCCCTTTCCCTGTGCGAAGTTCAGGTTTTCAGCACGCAGGAGCTCTCGGTGGGCATGTGCGGACACTTCGACGATGTGGTGTCGATTCTGCGAAATTGTTACGAGTTCCATCTGCAGGGCGGGAGTCGCAGGAACGCCGAAGAGCACTGCGAGAAGCGAGGGGGATTGCTCGCCTACAACGTCGATAGGTGAGCGTGCAGCCGGAAGATGCAGAAATATTCTCATCGGAGCCGCTTTCGGGGTGGGCGGGACGGATTCAGGTCCGATGTGGTCTCTCGGGAGCTCAGGTTCCCTGGATCGAAGACTAACCCGAGTGACGATTTTCGAAACTTAATTGCAGGCGGACGCTGCCGTTCATCGGAAGTGAATTAACTCGACGCAATAACAACAATCAGTTGAATCAAGGCCTCGTCTGGATCGGGGCGACTCTTAAACGGGGCATCGGCCCGGGAAGACGAGGCTGGTTCTGGAGCAACGGCGAGAACATCGCGAGCTCTCAGCTACTTTGGGGAGAGGGTCAACCCAATAACTACAACAAACAGCAAAACTGTATTGTGCTCGACCAGAAACTCTCCTGGATGTTCAACGATTTCAACTGCGATCTCGATTACTTGCCCTGGATCTGTCAATACGGTGAGATATTCCCCCCACGCAGGAGCAGCTCCTGATCCGAGATGTCGCCCGGCAGTGTTCCGAATCATCTACGGATCGGGCTCAATTCATTTCCACGTCGATGGTTCACCTCCGCAGAATTTGACCGCAACCGTCGATGATCTATTGCAGAACCCGTTCGATGCGGTAGTCCTGACGTCAGCGAGAATTCCACGCTAGTCGGTAAAGACTTCGGTGTTCTTCGGACCGTGAAGTACGGATGTCCAGTGGGCAGCGTCATTCAAGGCGACGCAGAGAGAACTTGTCAGAAAACTGGATTCTGGAGTGGAACCGCTCCTACATGCAAACACGTTGACTGCGGATCGTTGAGGCATATCGCGAACGGGAAAGCCGTTCTCCGAGACCTCAGAACGACATTCAACGCGACAGCTGTCTATATTTGTGATACGAATTATACTCTTGTCGGAGAGGAAGCCCGTCGTTGCGCCAAGACAGGTTTCTGGACAGGCCAGGAGCCGAAATGCCAGCTGAACTTCTGCGGTACTCTGACTCCACCCGTCAACGGTAGCATCCAATTAGAGGGTGTGAAGGCAGGCAAAGACGCCGTATACTCATGCAACCGGGGCCACGCACTGATAGGGGTGGCCAGGAGGAAATGTATGCTCGGAGGGCAATGGACCGGTGAGTGCTTAGAGGCGTATTTAGCGTTCACAGAAATTCACGAGCTCACATCGGAGGCATGGCGAGAATTCCTGCTGTTTCCTTCGACATTGTTCGCAATCTCCAACTCGAGGAAAAAAAATCTGTGGATTCGAATTCGACGTTTTCCGGGCGAGCGGTGATTTCCCCCACTCCATCCACAGAAGAGAATCCGGAGAAACGTAGCATTTCAAGCTGAAGTCGAATCGAGGTACCCCGAAATATCAATTTCGTTCCTCATCGTACTGATCGTTCATTTTTCCGCTTCCAGCTACGGCTCCCACTTGTCGGTATGTCGACTGCGGAAAACCGTCCCCTCCGGAGAACGGAAACATCAACTTCGTCAACAATACATGGGACTACCAATCGATTGTCACTTACTCCTGTAACAACGATTACACGCTCGTTAACGGTGACGTGACGCGGACGTGCAACGAACGCGGAGTGTGGTCGGGTCGCGAACCCGAGTGCCGCATCATCGCGTGCTCGCCGCCACCGATACCCAACGGGGCGTACATCAAGGCGGACGGAAGTCAATTGGTCAACGTGCACTCTAGCGTAGAATACGGCTGTTTGAGCGGCTATAAACTCATGTCGGGTGATCTCAGTCGGACGTGTCTCAAGAGTGGCCTCTGGTCGGGCACTCTTCTGCACTGCCAGCTCGTTGACTGTGGCAGAGTTCCGCCTATTCTGAAGGGTGAAGTCAAGTACATGAACGATACCACGACGACTCTCGATTCTGTCATCAAACACAGCTGCATAAACGGATACCGATTGGTCGGTTCAGAGACCCGAGTTTGCGGTGCGGACGGCAGATGGACTGGAGTTTCGCCGAAATGCGAAGAAATCCGCTGCGAACCGCCCGACGTCGCCCCGAACACGACGGTTCTCTATTCGAACAACGACCGCTCGTCGATCGATTCCTTCAAGGTCGGCTCGAGTGTCATGTACAAGTGCATGGCAGGACACATCATCGAGGGGGTAGCTCTTCGCAATTGTCTACCTAGTGGGCAGTGGGACGGTACAGACCCTCCGACTTGTCATTGTAAGTCAGGACGGCCGGAATATTCTTTTTGCCCTCTATCGAGAATAGGAATATTCAATATCGTCTTCCCTTCGTCCTGTCTAGCCCGCGAAGTTCAATCCCTCGATCGTTTCCCAAAATATATCAATGACATTATATAATAATCTGTATACTTAGCGAGTGTATATTTCCCACCAGATGTGGATTGTGGCGCTCCTCCGAGCATCCAGAACGGGGAATTCCACGCACCGACGACGCATTACGGGGCTCTCGTCGAGTACCGATGCCACAACGGTTACAGACTCAGCAATGGCGCTGAGAGGAGATTGTGTCTCGAAAATGGGACATGGTCAGGAAGTGATCCTGCCTGCGTCGAAGTCCTGTGTCCCGAACCGCCTCAGACCGACAGTCGATTACTGGTCGAGGTCAGTAAGACAATCCTCCCCCTTCCTTTTTCTTGTTCCTTCCATTCGTCTCGCTTTCCTAAGAAACAATAACCATCGTTCGACTCTCTGACCTTCCTCTGTCTGTTCTTATTATTTGTGCTTTCCCTCTAGAGCGCTAACGACACGCTCAACATGGTGAACCGTATCGAGGTCGGGAGTCCTATGACTCCTGAAGTGATACCGCAAAACAAAACTGAACTGTCGAGCTCATTGAGCACCGGAACCACGATGGAGCTGCAGAAATCTAGCGAGCTCACGAGCTCATTGACCCCCGAGCTGAATGTACTCGAATCGGGCGGATTCCTTGATCCATTGATACCGGAGCTGGACGCAGTGATCTCTATACTGATCACCGATTCAATGAGTCTCAGAAAGAATGTGACCGCAGAACCGACACCGAGCCCCCCGAGTTCCGAGAAGGGTTCGGGAATTCCCATCACAACGGTCTCTTCAGCCCCAGATCTGACCACCGAGAGCATTGTCCCCAGCAGTACCATGCAGATCCTTTCGCAGACAACTCTATATGGAGCGTCTTCCTCCCCGAATACGAAATCTACATAAAGTTCCTCACGCCGATCCCGCAATCTACCGTCGAGGCTGGGGGAATTTTTCTTACCGCACTCCGAAGTCACAAAAAACTCAAACTAGCACCCCGAGCTCCGATTCGTCTATCCTCTCCCCATGCCTTGGTATTTGAGTGATGCCCGGAAACCCTTGCTGTCTTGTTTGCTCTAAGCGGAGGCTGCGGTTTTGCTCACCAGCGACAAGTCCGCGCGGCACACGCTTACCTTGATCCTGCAGCATGACAGCTGGTTGCGGCGCTTCGGAAATTTGCATTCGATCGTCGAAGATGCAACCATCAGCATCGTGATGGTGATTCGAAGTTTCGGATTCGAACTAAAGGACGCTTTCATTTTCAAACAGGTTTCATCGTATAACGCTGGCTCCGTCGCTTCTTACTCTTGTCAAGAAGGTTATCAAATAGTTGGAGAATTCACGCGCGTCTGTCGTCCGAACGGTCGCTGGGAACCGCCGATCATCCCGACGTGCAGTGTAATCGACTGCGGGAGACCCGACCTCATACCGGTGAGATTTCCGACAAATTCGAGGAATAATCACCGAAAGAAATAATTCACCAGCTTAATCGACTCACCGAGATAATTCTCCGAGCGAAGTCCTCAATAGATGTGATTATGTAGAAATGATCCCCGATTCCGGCGGTCGGGACCACGGAGCACATTCCTTCCTGCAGTTTTTCTTCACGTCGAGTATTTTTCCCCCATTCACAGAATGGTCGAGGCCTTCTGGTCAACGGTTCCACAACCTACAATTCACATGTCGAGTATGAGTGTCTCCATGAAAAAATCAGCATCGGAGAGACGTTACGTGTTTGTCTCGCGAACGGCACCTGGAGCGGTCGCGAACCCTTGTGCGTCGATGGCGGGTCCGACCAAGCGAACGACGTCGATAACCTGCGTCTGATACCACAGTACGATGAGCAGACATCGAGCTCAATCGGTATATCGCTCGCGATTGGGGGTTTGCTCCTCATTAGCGTTCTCATAGGTGCAGCCTGGATTTGGATGAAGCACAAACCGAGTCCACCTGTCAACATGTGAGTTCGAAGTTCCTGGGAACTTCCATTTCCCGCGTTGATTTCGAAATGAGCCAGCTTCCAGAAGCTCATTCGTTCCCCGACGCAAAAAATGAGACTGAATTTTTGCAGACACGCACGCGCGCGATACGTCGGTAAGAACCACATCAGTTCGCCGAAGAACAACTATCAATCGACAACGCAACGACCTCCGTTCGACGCTGCATCGATGGCCGAGTACGCGAACGTCACGCCGCCGCCGTTGCCGCCCAATCACCCCTCGAGTCAATTCGTGACATTCAATACGCCACCGATCGCCCTCCAGCAACAGAATCTCTACAACGACAACATGTACGACAACAGCGGGGACTCTAGTCAGCCCATCTACGCCAACATTCAGGAGGTGCAAGAGCAGACCCACCACGTCTGATCTTAGCTCAGGATTCGGAGAACGAGTGCGCTCGGCACGGGAGAATCACGACACGCCGGTCGGGTTTTCTAACGAATGCGCTCGTGAAGAGATTTGTGGAGTTGGCGGTGGATCAATGAGCTTTGACGGAGCTTCGTCTCAGAGCTCCGTCTGATGTACAGTGTAAAGTAGGTAGACCGTCGCGGAGGTGGGGTCGCTCAGAGAGGTTCGACCGAAACGGGGAGCGCCTAGAGAACGATCGGAGGTATTCAGATGTAAATAATTGTTTCGCAGCATTTGCGTTCGGCCGATGTCGATCGAAGATTTTTTCGAGCGGTGAGAAAATGCCTCGGGAGATAGTCAGTGTAAAAAGTTGAAGGACGAAGAGTAACAACGAGCAACTTGTGTTACCTAATAATTAAAATAGCTCGCGCTGCCCGTTGACGGAAGGAAAGGCAGGCGGCGTATCTGTGATCTTGATTCAACGACACCTCGTACGGAGGTGGAATCGAAGAGTGCGTGAGCGAATGGAACCGTGAGTGTCTCTCATTTGAAGCATGCCTGGAAGATATATGAATTCCATCCCGTCGCGAAATCGTTCACCGCGGCAGATAACATAGGGTTCAGTGTGTCTGGAGTCAATGATGATGTTTTCTACTCAGCGTGAATTTAACCAGAGACCTTGAGAGTTGAGGAGGAAGGTAGAAATAGAGACCTACGCATCACGGGGAGCGAGCGATACCGTGGTCGAAATCTCGAGCCAACTCGTGCACATTTGACCGAATCGAATAAAATTTCTTACTGTCAAAGATCAGGACTTCATTAAGAAAGGAGATCGAGAAGTACACCACTTATAGGGGAATCGACAATACTTCGAGATTTGCTTTTCGGTTCTACTTATTCGCCCGCTCAGTCGGAGGAACTGAACAGGGACTCGCCGACTTTCCTGGAGCAGTACTTCCAACGGCGATTACCCATAGGTCACCCTCAATTCCCCATAGGTCGCCCTCCATCGTCTGGCATCCCTCGCCGGCAGCCGGTATCCTAGGTTCGGCCGACTCCGCTCTCCGAAGGATACACGCACCAACCGCTCAACGATCTGGTTGGTCTCCCTTGCCTGATAATTAAGAAGACAGGGATGGTGGAAAAAAATTGATTGCCAATCGCTAGCATCGGAACCGAGCGGGCCCTCTCTTTTCTGAACCACTGTTCAACCTCTGATTCCATTGACGAGAGCCGAAGGTATTCTCCTCCCTTTAATCCAGACCCACATTCCGATCGGTTCAAGGCGACGCGTCATGAGTGCAGTGGCACTGCGACTGTCGACGTCCTCGGGCGTAGGTGAGCGGGATATCTCTGTTCCGAAAACCTCCTCGTTCGGGAGGCATATTACAACGAATCGCTTCAGATGATTGACACTCAACGGTTTTATTGCATTTGCATCTCAATCACTCTCTTTCGTCTTCACTCTCTTCTCGACTCCCGCTGCCGTGCTCGGACGGGGCTGGGGTAGACGTCCTGGATTGCGAAGGCGAGGGAGGTTCCGAGATTGGTCTGGGGTACTTGAGCTGGAGCTTGCAGCTGGTTGCGTGTTCCGCAAAGTCAGGATGCAGCTTGTGGATTGCCTCCTGACGCGCTTTCCTGAGGGGGAAAAAAGTGGTTCAGATGAGAACCGACGGGATGTTTTGTTTGTATTTCTGATTTCTTGATTTTTTATTACACGGGATCCGGCGCTCTCCAATGTCTTTTTCGCTTTGTGTCTCCGGGTCTAGGAGTTTCAAGCTTACCTGTAGTAGACTCCAAGATTTTTCCAGTCGAGCAAGTCGCTTAGACGTTCCGTCCGGTTCCTTTGGATGATGCGCTGACGTCTTGTCAGCTGACTGAAATCGCTTAAAAATTGAGCTAATTGACACACGCTCTCCTCAGGGCTGTAGAGACGACGCTCCACGATGTAGATACCGTACGACATCGGATCCGTGACGTGCTCCTGAATGAAGCAACCGAAACCGGATAAATTCGTCGTGATGCTCGGGATACCCATAAGAGTACACTCGGCTGGCGTATAGCCCCAGGGTTCGTAATACGATGGAAAAACTCCGATGTGACAGCCTCTGACGAATTCCTCGTAGTCCATACTGAACAGAGGATTCGTTGAGGAGAGGAATTCAGGATGGAATATCACTTTCACGCGATCTTCTCGCTTATTGAATAGTTGGCACCGTCGAATCGCGTTCAGTACGGGATCGGTTTCATCGTCGATAACGTTGTGGGTGCAAACGGGAGGTAGATCGCTGCGTTGCGTGGCATAAATGCCGCGCTTGAGTTTCACGACATCTTCGTTCCTCAGCAACTCGTCATTCGTCGGGATTCTCCCGCTGAGCGCCGTTTCGAAAAGACGCTTCCCGATACGTTTCTGAATCTCGTCGACTGCTTCGTGAAGCTGCTTGCAGACAGCCTGACCCCGAAGTGATTCCACGTTGAAATTGTTCGTTTTCGCGGGGAAAATCAGAAACGCAATGATCGTCACGTCGCTCCCGCTCTCCTTGAGCTTGTGGTTCACTCTCGACAGGGCTTCGATGAACAAATCAGCCCCTTTGTTCGAAAACTCGTATCGACCCGCGATGAAACAATACAATGTCTTGTCCAAATCGAAGTCGTAGTGTCCGTAGAAATGACCGCGGACGAAGTCGTGTATTTTTTCCTTGGAAATCGCGTGCAGGTTCTGGAACTCGTGCAGGGCACTAAAACGTTTCACATTCAAACCGTTCGGCGTAATGACGTCGGCTTTGCGCTTCAGGAGATGCTGGGCCTCCATCGCTGTCACCTCGGAGACCGTAGTGAAAACGTGAGCAGCGCGGGCTGTCGCTCGCTCCATGCAGTATCGATGGTAGATCCCACGGTTGCCGGCTTCTTTGTCAAGGTCGAACTGGGACAGGTTGTTATAGAAATCCACGTTTCCCGCACACAAGTACCGGCCGAGCAGGGTAGCGTGAGTCGTGAAAACGGTGGAAATATCCAGCTTTCGCAGTCGGCAGAGCAGGAGGCCAACCCCTGCAAGCCACTCGTGGAATTGTGCAACGATGTAAGGCTGACCGATGAGTTTGCTGACGGCGTTGTAATAGCTTTCGAGAAACCACGACGTGAGGAAACCGAAAATTACGGCGTCGTTCGATTCCTGGTCGTGCCACGGTATTCCTATGGCACTCAACTCGAAAAGATATTTTTTCCATTCGTCCAATTTCCATGCCGCCGATCCAATGTCAAAAAGGACCACTTGGGGGTAGCCGTCAATCAGCCATCGCCCGTAGATGACTCGGACTCCTTGCTCCCCGAAATCCTTGAGAGCCTCGGTAAATGGACCCGGCGGAGGGGGCAACACCTCGACTTCAGTGCGTAGGAGATTCTCATTGATCGGTCCCAAAAGACAGTATTGATTCCCTAGCTCCTCCACGCTGATTTCGGCTTTCGAACGGATCACGGTGTAGATTCCTCCGACCTTATTGGCGACTTCCCACGACGTTTCGAAAATCCACCGATTTTCCAGAGCAGCGCTCTCGCCTCTATCGAGTACCTCGTCATCCTGCGCACCTTCGAGCCGATAGAATCGTTTTGAAGCGCGAGACATTCCCAAACGCCAGAAGAAAGGAATGGACGGCGCGACGCACGCGACGAGAACACCGAGGGCCACGAATCGAACGCTCGCTGACCAATGGAACGCTCGTTTGATTGAAGCACACAAACTTAACAGGAGATGTTCCGAGGGCTCAATTCTCAACCACTGACAGCACCCGAAGGGCGCCTCGAACGGCCAAGGTACCAGAACACCGTTCTTGGAAAGTCTTTTGCAGAGAGAGATCTAGCCGACAATGTCAAGCAAAGGCGCGTGCTGGGAAGATCGAGCGAGAGGGTGACCAGCAACATCGGGGTCTGAGCCTCTCCGAGCGCGAACCCTTGTAGCGCCGCACACGGCTCGAGCACGGAAGCCTTTCCCAAGCGATGGCGACGAAGATCTCCGCAAATAAAGTCGACGGATTTTCGAGTGTTTTCTCTACGCGACTGACTCTGGGTCTGATCGGGTTGCTCTTGAGGGACCGTATCTGGGGGAACACTCATCATTCCCAACATAGTTGAAATGAGCAGCTTTCACTGTCTCGAGTCTTCTTGATGTCGAAAAAGTCTCGAAGTGATGTATAACTGAGCGGTCATCGATGCCTCAAATTTCTACCTTGGAAAATAAATTCGACTGTCGGGATCGACCGAATTACCTATTCCTCCGAGTACGAGGGATGTTCGGGGGAAAGGTAAATCCACGTGGAGTATCCGAAGAAACGTTCGAAATTTTATTAAAGACATGAGGAAACAATTTTTTTTCCTCATAAAACTCTGCCAGGCTCTTTTTCTTCAGAGAACAGTGTGCAAAGGTCACACACCCGTCCTTGACTTGCTCGACCATCTTTAGAGGAATATGGAAAATAACCATGTACTTGCTTCGTTCCGCGACTGATGTCGTTCTTGGCGGCACTTATATCTTTAAGTTACAGATAACACGGAATAAAAACCATCGCCGTCGTATTGACGTCGTTGCGTACCCGACGTTGCTCTGAGAGAGGGAATAGATTCGAGCGGGTCAACTGGAATTTTAGCGTATTGTTATGTACACCCCACCCTCCAACGTAAGGTCTCCACCAAGGACAATGGCAGCCATTGAATCATTCAGTTTGAGAATGATCGATCCATCACGTGAGTGCTCCACCGAAGTCGTATATTGTCGCTCCCATCTCATCATTGATCTCCGACTTCTTCCCCCGCGAGAATGTTCCTCCTCCGGATCGTCATCTTCAGCGTCTCTCATCACATAGCGCGTTCAGTCCGGTCAGCCCGGAGACAGCATTCCAGTGGAACTAGTCGTCCCCTTATCCTCCTCAATTCTCGCCTCTCCGTCCCGAATAGATTGCTCGATCAGGACGGAACGCGTGTGGTCGTTTAATCCTCGATCGCGACAGTTTTCAGCGCATCTTGCTCAAGGATCTCGAGGACGGCGGTCGCCCCATCGTTGAAGACGAAAGACAGAGAACCATCAATAACGAGACAAGCGTCGAACATCCGAGAACGAATCTCTATCCTTTTAGCGAAGCCGCGCGGCTTACTACTAAAGTGAGTCCCTGTGGAGGAAGGATCGAGCACTCATTAACTATCCACGCATCTTGCGCTGGAACCGACGCGATCGGTCGGAATAAAACGCGGGGCATTCTCCAGCGACCAGAGCGGGACAACCAGCACGTTCCTACATACTACATGACTGAGGCAAATAATTCGCAGCACCGAATTTCCTCACCGAAAAACACAGGATCCCTTATGGTGTACGCCATGCGAGCTTGCGAAGGATCAAAAATGAGGCTGTCGTTGAATTTGGAAGTTATGTTCTGGACCAGAGTACTGTCCCGTACGCCGACGTCTTGACCGGTTTCCTGCTGAACGATCTCCAGAAGCCGTTGCACGCACTGAGGTGTAACCTTGTTGATGTTGAACGACCACGAGGTGGAACCAGTACCAGTACAAATCGTCACACCACTGCTCTTGACCTTGGTCCGAGGCGAGCCGTCAATCGAAATTTCGTAGTACGACACTCTGAAAGTAAATCATCGTTGAGGCCTGCTCTGCGGCGAGATCAGCCAGACATATGGAATGAGCGCGAATTTCGATTTCTCTACGGAGCGTATCACGATCTCCATACGAGATCGGCTGCGAGGTACCCACCTCGACGAGAGAGACTCCCCGACGAAAACTTCGTTGAGAGACTTTATTGGAAGAATTCTGATTGGCGATGCGATGGGCGGATTCTCGCTGGACTCCGCACCTTCCGGTGGCGCGTTTGGCGTGGCTGGTTTGTGCTCCTCGTTGATGCAGTCGATGAAGCGGTATTCGGGGTATTGGAGTTGTTGATCGTGGAGCTCGATCGGAGGGTCGTACGCGTGCTCGCCTTGAACCGAAACTCTGATTCGCTGTCTCCAGAGCCACCTAAGAGAGTTGAGCTACGGTCAGAAATCTGAATTGCAAATACTGCCGACACCGACTCGGTGCTTCCCGACAAACATGGAGCATCGATTTCCTTGTGATTCGGGACCGGAGTTTGGAGGGACAGACTCTCCCAAGTACCCGAACAACCACAGTCAGATCTCGACCGCAAAGTCTCGAACAAAAAAGGTCAGAGCAACCGCCTCCTATATTCTCAGCGACGATTTCCGGAGGTCTTCTAACTCAACGACGGACAGCTCTTGAGCGACTCGGCAGACTGTTTTCCGAAATTCGTTTTGTGCTGAGGGGGGAGTTAAAGGGGGGGGGCACCTAGGTCGTGGTATCAATGCGAAAAACGAACCTGAAACTGCCGGCGAGAAGCTTCTGCAAAGCAGCAGGGAACGCCTCGGTATACTTCCCAGGGAGACAGAGATAGCCAATTGACCTGGAGGGGTCGCTGTTGATTCCAATGACTGGCTTGTCCCGAGATTTGACTTTCGATGCAGCCATCAAGAACGTCCCATCGCCGCCGGTGGTGAAGATCACGTCTGCCCATTCCACATTGGCGTCAGTATAATCGAAACGGTCAACCAATCGCGTTTCGAGGCCGGCATTCCTGCAAAGAAAATCGAATAAGGGCCAAATGAAGAACTCGAGGGTATATCTAAGTTTCCATCGATCAGAAGCCGCTAAAATCACACTACTTCCGACGACGAATATGGAATCGTTCCCGTCGGCGACGTGACCGCGCACACGGCGCAAGACCAAAATGACCAAAGTGCCGCCTGAGACAGCCGGGCGAAGACCGTCAGTCGAACCACCGATCAAGAGACCAACATGGACAGAGCGGCTGAATTCTCGGATGATTATCCGCTACCGCTGATTAGCCTGCGACTCTGATCAACGTTTGCCGTTTGCCGGCTGAGCGAAGCCCGACAAGATTCTATAGGGTCCTGGATATGGTCGGTTTCGGTTTTTTTTCAATTTCGAGCCCGGTAATCATCGAATCATTTCAGCTCTATAAAATCGTCCCGCCCGATTTCCCATCCAGAGACGATGCAATTCGATTCGGACGGCCCTTCATTGAGTCGAAAGCTCCAGAAAAAGGGAGTGCCGGCGATAGATCCTCGGGGAATCCCCACGTAAGATTCCCGGAGATGTCAAAGTCATCTCGCATCATGGAGCTTTAGTGCTCAAGCTCAGGGAATACTATCACCCGTCAAATCACCGGGGGATTCCGGCTGGAAAGAAGGCGAGCCCTTCACATGACGATTTCTTGAATCAAGCAGCTAATCCATGCCCTAAGCACGGCTCATTTCGCATCTCTCACGCCACACAGCGAGTTGATTATTATCATCGTTTTCCTCCATTCGGAAGGTTTTAATAATCTCTTGCCTCGAAGGACAAATGATTACGACATTGAGCGTCGCTAAGGATTTTTTTCCGATTCTGCCTCGGCTCACCTGAGAGTGTTCACCACCAGATCCCGGTTCTTCGTGTGAATATTGTGGTGATGCAGAAGCGACTGATAGTCGGAACCTCGGGCTTCGAGCTGAAAAGAGAAGCGAGGGGCGACTTGGATAGGGCTTTCCAGGAATGGTCGCTCATTTTCGCGTAGACATTGGATAGACGGACAAGCGGAAACAACGACAATGTCAGCGGCGGCTTTTGCCTGCGGTGACGGCGGTCCCCAGACTAACCATATTTGGATCCGCGTCGGATCATCATAGACGGATCGATATTCGTGCCCGAATATAACCTTCATATTCGAGGAGCCCATTAGATTTTTTCTCTACAAAACCTCTAGTATGTTTCAGGTGGGCTCTCGACGACGCTCTACGTGCTCGGAAAATCGAACGGAACTCACTCGGAAGTGTAGTCTGAGGACACCACGATCATTCCGAACCGACAAATGGACTCGACTCCCATTTGCCAAGGATCGAGACCATCTATGAAGCAGGAAGCATTCGGAGTAATCTCTTAAGTCAGATATTCATTCGGATCAATTCAGAATGCCCGAGCGTTCGCAGAAAACGCTCGAATGCCATTAGAGACTTTAGTCAGAGGTCGATATTCCGAGTATCGAACCCGCTGACCTCAAATCTTCTCTCTGAGACCTTGATCGAGTAAGCAGTGATATACATTCGCCAATAGACGTACAAGACAACAGAGATGTTAGAGTGAGGTCGAGAAGCACATGTAGTTGCGAGGGTTAGGTTGAGTTAGCTGTGAGGATTATAATTGGAGGTTTTCTTGCTCTTTTTTTCGCTTAGGTGATCAAGCTTAAGCTCTCTGACCTGTCGGAGGAGAGCCTCGTCGGAAGTCAGGTCATCCAAATTCTGAAATGAGCTTCGTAAATTACTTCGCAGAATCGTAGGATTCGAATTCGTCAAGAGAATTCTCGCTCGCTCCTTGATTGTGAAGCATTTACACGCTGTAGCCCGACTCATCGATTCGCAGAGTTGGTCGACTTGGACAGATTTGATCATTCGATGAGCTATACGATTGAAAATCTCATCCAAGAATACGTTTCGGCAGGATTGTTTATCAATTCGTTTTTAAACATTCATTCGGGAGACGGAAGGTCGCGGCTGGTCGAAGGATTTCCCCCTCTCAATTGAATCTACGATGAATTTCCGATAGATCATGGATCCCAACCAAGTGAGCCTTAGACACCAGAGAAAAAGTTAGCGTCCTAACTCCTAACTTTGGGGGCGGACAAGGGGATGACCTCCGGAAGAGGGTTTCGCCCTGTTTTCATTTCGTGTGAAGGTTAATCCACCCAACCGCATTCGGGAAACCTGGATGCATAACCGAAGACGTGGGAGATCAAAGATAGATAGGTCGAGCATATTCACACAGCACACCCAGTGGCAAGGAGCATTAGTCTCGGGAATGATTGTCAAGGATTTCTCACGAATCCGATCAATCTTGTTCACCCGGCTACACGGGTGAGCACAGGTCCAATCATAGGCAAACTCAGAATTATTCACAACAGTTATACATCGTTAGAGATACCTCGTCGAATATCTCAGTCAGTTTTCTCCGATTTTTTTGCTTTCGAGGCCGCTCCCCGCCGCAGTGATGATTATTATCAGAAAAAAATAGAACAGCAGTGGCAGCTCTATTGAGAGATAGTGATGATAGTGGAAGTCAACGAGGAAGGGACTTACGTTGCGAATAAGTTCGTCTTCTTTGAACTCCTTGTGACGTCGTTTCTCGAATTCGAGCCGCGAGAACTTCGTCAGAACGAGCACTTTCTTTGGCGCGAATGCATCACCAATCTGCGTCGGCGATGTCGTCGTTGTTGTAGTTGTCGACGTTGATGAGGACTGAAGACTACTGAGGTGGGACTGCGGGCAGAGACGATTCCGAAGAGGCATGCCTGCTGTTCTGCTGTCACTGTCGCCGCCTTCAGCTGATGTGATCATCGCTGGCTTACAGCAGAAGAGCGACGCGCTCCCAAACTGAGCAGATCCTTTACTGGCAACGCCGCAACCAATTCGCCAGTAGGACGATGGCCCTTCTGTGGCGGTCCGGAGCAGCACAGGCCACAGAAACCTCATGCTAGTCGCTACATGCCGTGTAGCTCCCGGCGCGGGAGAGGAGCTGCGAGGGTCGTCGTCGCCGTCGTTGTCGACAATGAAGGCGATGACCAAGCGCGGTTACGAAGCCGCCGCAGCCGCCACAGCAACAACTGTTGACCTTTGGTAAGGATCTAATCCACCGCCTGGACTACAACGACCGCAACCGGTCGTCACGAGCGGAGGCTACTCGAGCTGGTCCTTCTTGAGCACCGTCGCGCACTCGGAGCTTCGGAAATTGTCCTGTGGTACGAGGAAGGAAAAGTTTAGCACCGAACTCGCTTTCGTCCCTGCTACATGTGTTTTACCACCGCAGCCGCGGTCGTTGTTCCATAGGTGCTATCTACAGTCGACGTCGTCGGAGGAGAACTTTTCTTCTTCGAGGAGGAGAGAGGATCATCGTTGGAAAGTCGGCATCAACAGACAACTCTGCACACAGCCATCCAGTTTTAGAGTGTTCCTGGGATCCTTGAATCGACCGCGTATCGAACATCGAATTCGGCGTAACGGAAACGGTCGGATAGCCATCTTCTATATGAGGTCAAACGGTAGATAGATGCTCGGAAATCTCCCCCGTATGGCGTTTGGGGAGCCCGGACATCGAGGTGAACATGCTGCTCTCCCGAGTTCGGTAGATCATATCACGAAGCGGTAAAGGACCGTTCGAGGGTTCCGGCGAACGGGACCAAATCGTTACTTTTCCGTACGGATCTACGGCGTTCCTAGTGGCACGGCATGTACGGTATCCCCGAGATACGTTCCTGGGAGATGTGAGAGACCGGCGAGCAGGAACGCCGAATAATCATTCCAGAATATGCAAGCGGGGTGTGGATCGCTGACGGACTCGGCAGTACGATCCCGATGATGACGATGATTTCTGCTGGGAAGGGGCGAAGCTTTTCGGGCTTTTCGCTTCCGTTGTCAAGCCTGTGCTAGCTTGCCGAACTGGGCCTCGTCTTCGCAGCAATGACTCTCATCTTGAGGGAAGGCGTCAGGTTCGGAGCTCCCCGTATGGAGATGCCCACACCTCCATGGTCTATGACGCACGATTCCCCGAAACCTCTCATCCGGCTGTCTAAACAACCAGGATGTCGGTGATGACAATAGACTTCGATGGACGGTCGCGGCTCGCGGCTAATCTCTAAAGACCTGGATAGTCCCAGAGTTGCAGTGGCCGGTCGTCATACCGAGGTTTCGTATCATCCTACCTTGAGTGATCATTGGGTTGGATATAACACTACTGGTACTCACCGAACGTAGTTGTGATTCAATCCTCCTGAACGTTGTATCTTAAAAAACTTCTGTTTTGTAGCGCTAAAAGTGCTGATTACGTATTTAACCTGGAGCTGTCGATCGCAGGCTCTGGGGAAACTTGGCTCGGAACTAGCTCAGGGGCTTTGATCACGCAGTGAGACGCAGAGTAGCAGCTCGGGATTCAGTTACAGTGTTCATCCTTTATTTCTATCTAGGCGCTGCTTAAATACAGATCTAGTATAGAGGGGGAGAGCTATCCTCTGAGAGGATGCTTGATTACCTAGGATGATCTACTTAGGGTTCAACCCCCTTAGACAGGCGAAGGAATTCAGATCGGACTAGCTCGATTGATGGTTCCGGAGTCCTCTCTGTCTAGCTATCTAAGTGCCGACGCACGCGTGGGGTGAACCCCGGAATCTCTAAGCTAAGGGGCTCAGAGCCTCACTATCTAATTGAAATCCCTATTTCTAACAGATACTATAGGAGATGTCGTTTGTGTCAAATTATCGGTGCCTACTGGGAAATCCTCAATCCTCGGAGGATTCCGTCGTTTCTCTTGACTCACGCTATTCGATAGCAGGATGGGCGACGAGATCATCCTGTCGCGATGCAGATCTCGAGTAACATTCGATATGGTCTGACCCTCTATCGTAAGAGTTCCGAGTTCGGAGGAATCGATAGACCCGGGTCGATTGATAAGTCTGTTCGAAGCATGCGTCTCTAGAGCTCCGAAAGATAAGAGAGAACAGAGCACATTTTCATGAAGAATTCTCTTGGTAAGAGATCTTTCTTTCATCGCCACGCCGTTCCATCCCCGCGCCGCTTTATCGCCGTCTTCGATTCACGATCTATCACCATGCCCCTTCCATGGGCCTGGTCCCTTGGCTTAGGCCTCTCCGCTCACGAGGAGCTGGTTCGATTCAGAGGATATTTATTCGGGACCTGTTTGCGAAATTGCACAGTATTCCCACGAAGTCTGTGGAACCATTGTGGGAAGAGTGTTAGAGTCTGCCTAATGAATCATCTCGAGGGATGGCATGGTTCCCAAAACTTTTTTGAGCCAATCTCACAACTCGAGAAAGGGGTGAACGATCAGTGGCGGAGAGTCCCACTGGATGCGAAAAATCCGTCCGAGCCGCTCAAGGAAATAGACGGGATACTGAATGACCGCCTGACACGTTCAATGCTCCTATTGGGAACCGAGGAAGAGAACTCAAGGTGTAGTTATTCTGTGCGGCATACAATCTTCCAGATGCTACCACAACTCCAACTTGTAACCTTGCTTGACCCACGCTGAATGCATATTCGTCGACAGAGGGAGGAAATTTTCCTACTTTCGCAACGCTTTTTCGGTCTTATATTGAGACACATCGTACTTCACAGTTCCAGAGCTATAAGAAACCGCGGGAAATAGCAGGACGGGCTTTCGGGCGCACGGGGTTCGGAGGGCGATGCAGGGGGCGATGCCTCCGGGGATCAGGGCAGATCGGACAAGGAGAGTGAGATAACCTCTCAGCATATGGGAAATTGAGGGTTTCATTGTTTCGGACCATGAACGAACTGAACTGAAGGACAGTCCGTTCCGCTATTTATTGACTATGACTCGGTGTTGCGTCAGAGACATTCGACCGTTGAGCAGACTCCGACAGAAGAGATCGTGGTGCCTGAGACACGCCCGATTCCGGAGATGATGGACCCCGCCGCCGACTCCGACGGCGAACCCAACGAGGCTGACACCACATCGGCTGGTTCC